GCCCGAATTGCTCGAACTCCTTCCTTGTTTTTTGTGAATATCACGAAAGATAAACCCCCTTAACGCAAAAACGTTCAGCTGCGTGAGCGCATAAGGCTGTATACTTCGATTTACTGGCTTATCTGTTGTAGAAATTGCTAAAAAACTGGAAAAATCCGAATGTTGGGTGGTAGAGTGATCATCAAGGTTTTGAAGGCAAGAAACTAAGGGGAAGACCAACAGCCCTGAATAAAGCAGCTAAAATAGTTTTAAAGAAGGCTAGATACAAAATAGGAGACTCGACAAGGAAGCTCAGTCTCACCTAGTTAGCAAGCCAAATAAAAGGGTCATGAAACGCTGTTTGAAATGTTTAAAATTGAGGCCCCTGAGATGGCAAAAAAAATCTCTGCTTAGTCTGCCAATTAACGCCCAGCCCGTTTCAAATTTGCAAAGAATTACAAAAGCCGTGCTCTGGAAGGGGGCCGGGATGATTATCTCTTTTGGATGAATGCCCAAAATGAATTTTTTAACAGCAGCCTAAACTAAACAAATGTTGTTTTGGGGTTGAACTGGATCCTGCGCACCAGGTGATAAAAAAGCTCAAAATGGATTATTTGTGGGTCGACACACTGTATCCCACTTCATGCCGCAACGGCTACAGAATGTGATAAAAAAAAAACAAAAAGGGCATGCCAGTAACTGAAATTCTGAACACATGTACTTGATAGAGAAATAAACATCTTCTAGAAACTTCATGTAAAAATACAGTTTTGATCAAAAGTTGTAGTGCATGAAATTAGAGGAACGAACTTTTGGGACATCCTGTATAGTTTTCATTAAAGAAGAATCCTCAGTACAGTAGCTAGAAGCTCTCTTCATCTTGGAACTCTCGCTAACGGACAGCTCATAAAACCTCTAGGAAATTTATCCAGCTGCATGTGTAGCAGAGCACATGGCTTCTCCAGAGGACTAATTTCTTAAATGACTAAGGGCGCTTTCCAAAAGTTAGAACTGACCAGCCGGACTATTGCCGGACCAGTCATTTTGACAACGAAATAGGATTTTTCCTGGAGTTTTTTTTTTTTTTTTTTTTAATGAAAACCCATCTCCTTTGTGCATACTATTCAAAATTTGATTGATCTGACAGGATAGTTTTGATTAAAAGTGAGATTCTCATTGCCACAGGAATGGTCTGGCCAGCCAGTTCTGACAAATGAAAAGCGCCCTAAAACCTTTTTTCTGGCCCTCACTGGCATTTACCAAGGGACAGGAATCGGGACTACGAATTGCAAGATTATGTCCTTTGAGCAGCGATTGAGATTCATAAGAAACGATCGGGGCATCTGTTTACTTTTTTAAAAATCACTTGTTGCCACTCTTAACATGTTCATACGCTGGCAATCTTAAATAAAAAGTACCCACGCTTCAATTCACCTCTGCAATTAAATGCTCGGGGTAACCAAACTGAAGTGAAGGGGAAAAAGCTGCGCTCTTCCTTGTCTAGTGACGACAGGCCTTGAGAAATATTGGTGGACCAATCAAATAGCAGATTCTAGCTTATTCACTGAAAGAATTCCCTCAATATTCTCATGACAAAGTTTTCAAGGTTTTTGTGCGCCCTGACAACAGAACTGAGGGAATCATCTGGAAGATATCTGGTCAACACTGAATGAAGATGGCCGAACACTAATGCATCCAGCTCTGTTGGTCTACAATGATTAAAGAAAGAAAAAATAGAATCAAACATCTATATATAAACAGGTGCACTTAAAGAGGAGTGTTCGGGAAATTGGTCGAAATGAGCAATGTACTGTTGGAACAGTATACGATTTCTCCTACAAAATTTCCAATCAAAATTATAGACACGAAGAAATTAAATCATCATCAAAGACATTAGCTTAGATGTGTGGAGAATATTATAAGGGATCTTCTGAAGGAGATATAAAAGAGATGGAAAAATCAATAAAAACCATTACTTCTCTGTTCTTAAGTCTCTGCTAGAAAGGGAGTTACTTATAATGATTTAAAAAAATAGATCCAGGTTCTGCAATACAAGTGAGTGGTTTCTAAGCTGTTGACGACGTCTGTCTATTTGAAATACTTATGGCAACGCTCTGTTATATAACCCTTTAAGCCCCAATATCCACATACAAATTCTCCAGACTGCTCTTGATGGATTTTCTTAAAGAATTAGTCAAGAGAATTTGTTGAAAAATCAAAGAAATTTATATTTCTCGAGGTGATCATTTTCTTTTTAATTCTCATACCCTTTTCTCTTAATTTTGTATTGATATTGTTAGCGGGAAAACTAATTTTGGTCTCTCTCGTCGTTTCTCATTGCTCTATGAAAGATAGATAGATAGATAGATAACTTTATTTAAACACGGTTAAAATTCCTTCAGCATGTACAAAAAATCTAAGATCTATTATACCTAACTAAACTAACTCTGATTAAAAATATATTCATAAAATTTTAACTACCTAGCTATTTACAAATAAAAGCTGCTTTTCAAGGATGCCGTGTACAACTGTATTAATGTATGATCTCATTCAAAACTGTTGCGACACAGTTTGCGTTTAAAATCATGTAAAGAATCTGCAGATCTTAAATCATGGGATAGGCTGTTCCACAGCTTAGCTCCGCTATAGGAGAAACTTTTCTTTAAATAATTGGTACGGGGCAGTGGAAGGACTAATTTATTTTCAGTATTCCTCAATCGATAAGAAGTTATTTCGTCACGAGATACAAATTTAGATGTTAGATAGTCGGGAGTCATCCCATGTACGGTTTTATACATCATAATAGCCGTCGATACTTGTCTTTGGTGAAAGGAGGCTGTATTCTTACCTATCATTTATAAAGAACCTGTTGTTTCCCAGCTTTTCAGAAAGAGCTTGACATGTCCGTCGAAACTCCTCAACAACCTGTAAAAATTAACCAAAAAAGCACTCAGTCTGGGCCAACAGTTTTCAATTAGAACACTTCCAAACAGAAAAACAGTTTGCTACATTTGTACAAATGGGAATGCATGCATTTCATTTTTGAACTATCGGAACAAATCTTTCATAGATTTAGCGCCAAAAGTGAACATATGACTTATTTATAAGCTAATCGCGATGTTGAAATGCAGCAAAATAACTTGTTTTAATTTTCGTTGTTTTTCACACGCGGTAGTGCTCACATTTTTCTCTCTCCCCGCCGCGTGTCGTCTTTTCTCTCGTGGGGTGATTTTCACGCGCGCGCTCGCGTTTCGCTCGCTCTACTATCCCTGAAGACAAATGGGGGACTACTCGTAGTCTATGATTGACCCTACAGTAGCTGGGGCGGATCCAGGATTTTTCTTAGGAAGGGGTAAACCACTAAGGAGTGGGGTAACTGACTGGTGACGTAAACAAAATAATTTTAAAAGCGAATACGAAGAAGGCATTTGACTAGGCAATAACATAATGGGAACTATTGAGAATACGGTCATATCAAACGATACAGCAGGTATGACTCAGCGGGGTGGGGGCCTGAGTTGAACCTCAGTCCTTTTTTATGCATTGTAAGCGCAGTTCTGTTGATCCTAAAGATGTTTAACTTCATTCAACCCGTGTTCTACCTCAGTCTATAATATTAGGACACCTCCATGAAGGGAGGTTTTGTTGTGTCCTTTCCTACCAGACATCACCAGTTTGAGAGTCTGTGCATGATTATTCATACCTCAGTATCAGTTTTGAGATGCCAGCCAATAGCCTTGAGGTGCCTACAGATCTGCCACTGTTTCCTGTAGCTAAGAATAACATTTAATGGTGTAGCAAACTGACTGCCATACTGTTGTCTTGTTCTAACTGCCCAACTTTTCTTCCACCACAACATGTAAAGCTAGACACAAGGTTAAGAAGAAAAATCACTTCATTGAGATGTCACTGCAATAGAAGAGGAGTGTGACATCACAAAAGCTAAATTTGTGAAAAGCTTATTAGTGCAAATTAGCGGGGAGATACATGTACAATGTATAAGCACCTGTCCTTTATGCTCTGATGATTCCTTACAATCCTTCTAAAATTATCTTCAAACGAACTATTTTACGATCCAGACCTATAAAGTCCCAGAGTGATGACGTCATAAAAATTAAATTTGTGAAATAATGGGATTTGCCAAGATATTCTGAAAGAACAACGTCTAACAACAACGCTTACTTTCCAAAAATTAGCATTTGGGGGGCAAATTGTCTCTGAGATATAGCCCAGTTATGCTCTGATGACTCCACTGACAAATCCTTCTAAATTTGACTTGGGTCAAAAGGTTTAGACTGGCAAGTCAAATTTAGAAGGATTTGTATGGAGTCATCAGAGCAGAAAAGGGCTAATATCTCAGACACAATTTGCTTCACAATGCTAGTTTTTGGCAAGTAGGCCACTTGGATATTATTCTTTCAAAATATCCTGACAAATGCTATATATTTTCACAAATTTAATTTTTTATGACATCACACTTTAGAACTCTATTTTAGAGGGATTATAAAGTCAATGGAGCATGAACATTTTTTTATCTTGTTCTTTCTGGACATTCTATCATATCCCATAATTTTACAAATTCAGTTTTTGTGGGATCATCAATTCTCTTCTCTAAAGCACAAATGAAGTGGTGCAAAGAGAAAAAGCCCTGAGTAACTTCTGATTACTGCTGAATTTCCAGTACAAAGTGCTTTGTATTTGTTTGTGAAGCAAAGGAGAATTTGAAATTACATCAAGAATCAGTTAGAGGCTCCTTCCATGCATCTTTTTCATTGGGACACACCCTGATCTAAGCTGTCCATTTGGCCATTAACCTGATTTTCATAAAAAGTGCCTTATGCAAGCTTAGAATTTGATGTACAGCTAAGTCATTAAAAGGTTTTGAAAGTGAGTACGATATATAGGTCTGGGAGAACACAGTAGCTCACTCAAGTAAGAACCTAGCTTGGGAATATTAATAATGTCATGCCTCATTGTTCATTCCTTAAGCTAAGAGTCCAGGGGGGTACCCCGGATTTCAA